GAAGAGCAAGGGTTTAATTCTGCTGGGTAAGGAACACAATCACCACATCCAGCTGCCATTGAACTGATGAAATATCCCACTTAAATGAAAAAGAAAAAAAAAAAAAAGAACAACCTAGCCCCATATAAATAATCTTCTAGTTTGCATCCTCCTGTATTGCCAGAGAGCAAAAATTACTAATTCAAATTCAACCTCTCTAATTAATGGTAGGGTAAGTTTTGCTGATAAAAAAGCAGATCACGTTTGATTAAAAAAAAAAAAAAGGCAGCATCAGTCACAAGGATTCTGTCACAAACTTTCTATTTTCCCTTGGCACGTCACCAATTAGACCTAGTTCTTTAGTCTGCTACCACCAGTATAAAAAAAAAAGCATAATGGCTTTATAATTTGCCACCAAATCCCATAGCAACTGTACATCACTTTAGATGTAAATTACAGACAATTCCTTCCAATGCCGTTTGAAAACTATAGAGATGAATCTATAATTTGAGCAGATCCAAATGCTACGTGGTCGAGAGGAAAAGCTTCCCTAAATAATTGAAAGGAAACTGCCACGGGCCAAAACATTCCTCGTGCACAATGTTCAGAGTCTCTTTGTCCCCTTCCTTCCAATGGGAGGTGCCACATTCAGGTCAACGTGAAGAACACTGAGCAGGAGCCGAGCAGTTCAGGGTGTTCTGCAGATCCTGTCCCATTTTTGCTGATGAGCCCTACGTGTGCCATGAGCTTCCTCTCCAGCCTCCTCTGATTCATTCAGTCATGTCACCGACTCATGTTCCCGATGTCGTAAGAGCCTCAATTTTGACGGACTACAGCATCAGTGAATTAATAGGACAGGAAAAAACAGGTTACGGGGAAGGAGGAATGATGCAAAAAGCTCTGAGATAATTCAATGAATTTTGATTCGGAGGCCGGATTGTTCTTCTCCTCCTGACACCTGCAAGCAGCTTTCAATTCTCAAGTCAGCATGAATACGCATTACCCTAAAGACCCTGTAATGACAGCACAGCCTTCATTTTGTGCTTCGTGCTTTGAACACAGCAAGATGAAGGAATCTCCACAAAGCTCCAAAAGACAAGGCTGGAAAGTTATTTCAATACACAGCAACTCCAAGGGGTCGGGTTAAGCCTCATTTTCAAGGGATTGTTTCTCTCACGGTTGGTTTTAGAGCAGCATGGGGAAAGACGATTTGGGGAAGCCGCATCTATCAGACCATAGTCCCAAAAATCAGCTGGGAGAGCACAGGGACAACGTGCTCTGGTTATCTCAGCTTAGTCCCCAATAAATATTTGTGCATCTGCCAAAGTTCACCAGTGAATCAACCAGTGGCTTCAGTTCAAAACACTCTGAGGTGGCAGGGGCAGAGAGAGACAAACGGGAGCAGGAGAGGAGCTCAGATCCATCACCAAGGGATGGATGCTACAACCTTCTTTAAATCCTCCCAAAACCACCAGGACCAGGGCCAGGAGCAGAGTTCAGCCACTGTTAGGTCAACACAGAAGGTGAGAGGGAAAGGTGTGCAAATGCATCACGTTGCTTTTTATCAAACAACCACTCCTCAAGCACAGAGAGAGGTTTACAGAAATATGTGGAAGCTGGGAAATTCCCAGGTAAGGGTTCCAGGAACAGCACCTTGACTGCAAGGGACACTCAGGCCTGCCATGCAGCATCAGGCAGGAAGATGGTGACTTAACCCAGGATGCTGCTAAAAAAGCAGGTGTGAAAAATAAAGGATGAATGATAACTAAGGGTATTAGGTGAGGATGGTAAAATATCTCCTCATTGAGGACAGGAATGAAAGAGGAAAGCAAGGCAAGGGCGTGAGGAGTTCCTTTGTACTTGACAGGGGTAAGAACAAAATTTGGGGCACGCAAGAAGTGATGGGAAAAGTCACAGAATCATCTAATCCCGGAATGGTTTGGGTTGGAAAGACCTTGAGGACCATGCAGCTCTACCTCCCTGCCACGGGCAGGAAGACTTTCCACCAGATCAACCTAGCCTTGGCCATGCCCTGCCTTTTTTGGGGGAGTGGGAATGCCTAACCACGTACACACCCCCAAAAGGAAGGCAGCAAACTGCAGGCTGCTCTAGAATTACACTCCCTACAGAACCCAGAGCTGTTTTAGGTGAGCACACCAGACTGGCTCCATTTCACCAGTGGACAAACCAACTTGGGACACACTTCCCACTGCTCAGCCCTCTGAGCTCAGCAGCCAGAGCTCTCAGTTTCACAACCCTGGGGAAACAGTTTCAGGGGCAGCAAGTTTCACAATGAGCAGCTGGGTGACAACTCACTGTGTCCCCCGTGAAGCCAGTGCTAATTCTCTTTTTAAGGCTCCTATGTCATTCAGGTGAGCTATTGAAGAAACCTTTCCAAGGATCAGGAGAAGCCAGCAGCCCTGTGAGCTGGAGCTCCTCAGCAGCAGCTCCACGTCCTCTGTACATGGCACAGGAACAGCCTGCTGGAACACAAGAGCTGGGGATCAATCTCTCAGAACCACAGAATGGCTTGGCCTGGGAGAGACCTTAAAGCTCAACCTGTTTCAAGCCCCTTTCACGAGCAGGGACACCTTCCACTAGACCAGGCTGTGCCAAACCCATTCCAGAATGTGGATCCCTGACCATTCTCTTCCCTAGGACACAGACAGCTCAGCAGAAACACAAGAGCACAGCTCAGCAGAGGCCCAACAAGACAAATATCTGTTTCTCCACAGCCCCGCTGCCTGATCCACACATGATGCAGCTCCACACCAAGCCTGCAACTGCTCTGGCACCAGGGACACTCCAAACAAATGGCAGCTCGCCCGGCTGGGTGATCATTTTTGGATTATGTAATCCCAATACATTATTATTAGACCAAGAACAAACTAAAGCAAGGAACTGAAGACATTTCCCTGCCCGTTCTGGCAGGGGGACAGGGCCTTGTCGCAGGAATGGCACGGACGTGCTACCCTGGTGCCTGAAACAGGTCAGACTGCACATGTTGGACTGCAGGTAACACAAAGAGCAGGATTGGATTCCAGGCCATTATCCATATTACACAACGCTGCCGTCAGTTCCACCACGTTTCAAACCAAACCCAGCAGAAGGAGCCTGAGCAAATTTTTTCCATTTAACTACTGCAGCCCAAAATTAAAACAGAGCTGGACTGGACAAACACAAGCTGCAAAGGTGTGTTGGAGGCAGCTCCTGGCTGGGCCGGGCCCAGAGCTTCCAAGGAAGCCGAGATGTTCAACAAGCTGAGGAAACTGTTTATAGAACCGATGCAGAATGAGCATATGTGTTTAATAGCCCACTAATTGTTGCGTTATTCACTACACAAACAAGCAGCTCTTCTGCCCTTATCCCTTCCTGCCCAGTTAATCACCAGGAGCCTCTGACTATTTCTCTTTTGGGTGGCGGTGAAGGAAGCAAAGTTCATTAGTGGCCGTTGGCCACCAAACAATCCCGAGCCCAGACTTCATTTAGAAAATAAACACCACTATTCATGTGTGACACGGACTCGGAATAGCTTCCCAAAATATTTAATGCAGCTGCCTGTAGTCTTCCTACTCTCCCTCCCCCAAAATAAAAGGCTTTTCCAATATATAGGAGAAGAATTATTTGGATTATTTGTTTCATTTTTCGTAGAGAAAAAAGCTAGTAACTCAGTCTACCCGAGTCACTTATTCCTCCTGACTTCTCATAATGCTGATAAACACTCATTAAAATATAAGTTGATAAACCCTGGTACAGTCATTACCTTCGTCCTCATACAGAGATTGCCCAATTCAGTGATGTGATGTAACCAACACCCTAAATTAAAAATAGTGTTGTGACAACATATGGTTTATCCTACAGAAGCTGGCAGGCAGGACGCTCCTAATGACAAACGGGTTTAGGCTCCCAGCTTCCCCCAGCAAGGTGAGGAGACAGAAATGCTCGTCGCAGGATCAGAGGCGGAAAGAAAGAATAAAATAAAAATAAAATTACACTAAAAATGACAGTTTTGAACCCCTCTCCGGTCCATCCCAACACCAGCTGCCGTGCTTTGCCATTATTCTCTATTTACATGACTAATAAGCTCTCTGGATGCATTTCAAGGAAACGGCACGGAAAAGACAATCTGGAAATTTCAAAATACAGTCTGAACGTGCCTCCCTCCCTCCCCCCCACCCCACTGCCGGGAGGGGAGCACCGAGCCGGCGGGGGATGAACAAGCCCGGTGTCCCGGGGATGGCGACAGCGATGGAGGGACCCCCTCACCCAGTCCGGGATGGCAGCACCGGGGATGGACCCGCCGCCTCCCCCCCGGCTTTGGAAACCCACGTCACGTTCACCGGGGAAACGGATGGGGGGGGGGGGGCACCGGCGTGCCTTGGCCCCCCTCCCCAAAAACTCCCGGGGACTGACGGCAGCTCCCCGGCACCTCCCGGGGGGACACCGAGCGCCCACCCCCGCACCGACACCGCGGGGACCCTGACACCCACCCGAGGGGGGCACACCGGGGGTCCCCGCTCACCCACCGGGGTGGTGGCACGTAGGGGTCCCCGCGGTGATTACCGGGGAGAGGGAGGGGGAAGCACCGACACCTCCCGGTGTCCCTCAAGCACTTCCCGGAGGATCACGACCCCTCCCCGGTCACACACCGGGGGGCCCGGAGGGACCCCACAAACACGACCGGGGACTCGGAACACAGCGGGGTGTTACTGGGAGGGACACCGAGTCCCCTCCGGTGTCCCTCAGGCACCTGGCACCAGGATCGCCCTCCCCCATTCCCGGTTCCCCGGTCACTCACGGAGAGAGGGGGGGGCCGGGAGCCTCCGCACCCCCTCAGCCTCTCACCACGGCGTCCCCCCGCCCCAGGCCACACACCCACTTCACGAGGAGCTCCCCCTTTTCACCTCCCCTCACATCCCCGCCCGTGCCGCCCGCAGGGCTCCGTCCGGGGGCCTCGTGGCGGCCGCCCGCTCCCCCTCGGCGGGGCCGTGCCCGCCGCCCCACACCCGCCAGCCCCGTACCTTACAGGCCTGGTAGCTCTCGAAGGCGCGCAGGGCGCTCTCCGTGAGCTTGACGTGGAAGACGGAGACGCGGGTGCCGCGGCCGAGGCGGCCGCAGGACAGCCCGTACCCGCGCTCCGCCTGCAGCGCCGCCATCTTGGGACCGTCTCCCCCTCCGCGCCTGGGCCGCCGGGGCCGCCCGCCGCCGACACGCCCCCCCTTATGAATTATTCATGATGCGCCGCTCCGCCGGCCACGCCCACGCGGGGCGCCTGTTGCTGGGGCGAGGAGGTGGGCAGCGGGCGTGCTGATTGGTTGGGTGATGCCGGGCGCAGCGTCGGATTGGTAAGTAGGGATGGGGAGGCGGGGATATGTAAATTTCAGCGTGGGGCATGCTGGGGAGGGTGGTCTGGTGCAGCCGGGGAGTGCTGCGGGTGGGGGACCCCCTCCCCGGGATGAACCCCCCTGACCCACCCCGGGCATTTAACCCTCGGGGTGTGAACTCTCTGGAACGCCTTGGCATGAACGCCCCGGATATTAAATCCCTGTGTGTGAGCTCTCCAAGCATGAACCCTCTGGAACCCCCTGGCCATGAGCCCCCCGGCATGACCCTCTGTGGTGGGCACCCCCTGTACTTCCCACAGGCATGAACCCCCAACCCCACTGACCTCTCCAGTCATGAACACCCCAGCATGGACCCCCTGATCCCCAGGGAGAGACTGAAAGTTCCAGGCTTCCCCAGGGCAGATTTTGGGGTCGCAGGCTTCCCCCTGAGCATTCTCCCCCACCCTGTAGACTCTATGTGTCCCTGTGTGTGGTAATAAAAAGACCCGAACGTGAAGGAATTGTCCTTTATTTGGGAAGTTCACAGTCAGTTTGGGGTGCAAGGACAGTGCTACAAACCCCTCACGAGCAGAGCTGGGCAGCGGCGAGTGCTGGGGGGGCTGCAGGGCAGGGAGGGACCCCCAACGGGCTTGGACCCACAGGAAGACAGCCTGGACAGGGGGTCTCCAGCGCTCCCCTCCTCCATCCCTCCCACCACGGGTTTCTTTGGCTTCCTTTGGACATTGCACGCTCCAGGGATGTGCAGAGGAGGGCAGCGGGTACCTCCAGGAGGGCTGAGTCCCTGGCAGCCCCCCAGGAATCAGGAATGTCGCTGCAACTGCCCCTGGGAACATCCACGTCGCTTCCCACAGCTTCCTTCTCCGTGCTTCCCCCTGCCCATCCCATCCCAACACCCAGGATGGGCACGGCCAGGCCGTACCGGTGTGTGGCACCTCCCGCTGCCCCCTGGCACATTCAGGGCTGGGGGCTGAGCCCCTGAGTGCCAGGAGGCTGCTCAGGGGTCCCTGCTCTGCCAGCAGCTCCCTCCCCACACGTGCACCCACCCAGAAGGGATGTGGGGAACGTCGGGAGAGAGATCCGGCACCTCTGGCAGAGAAAGCATCCGTGTTCCTGGAGCGCTGAGTCCGTGGGAAGGGGCAGCAGAGCCTCGGGGCAGCCCCTCGGCAGAGACAGGCAGGACCTGGTGCTGGTCCTGTGCCAAGGGGCCACCCCGGTGCCACCCTCAGTTCCTGGCCGCGATGACCACGGACAAGGCCACGCCGCCCAGCGCGATGGCTGTCGCGCCAAAGAGCCACTTCCAGGGGATGGACTGCGGAGCAGAGGACACATGAGAGGCTGTGTCCATGGCAGGGGACACGTGCCACCCTGCCTGCCCGCCCTGCCCCCTGCACAGGGCGTCCCAAAAAGGCAGTGCCGTGTCCCTCTGTCCGCGGGGACAGCGTGTGCCACCGGCTGACAGCGCTTCCCGATGGGCAGCTGGGAGCAAAGTCCGGACCCTGCAGCTGGCACGGCTGGGATCCGGTGGACACAGCCAGGAGCACAGGCTGTTATCGGTGTTTTCCGGGCACGGTTCCCGGAGCACAGCCCCCTGCTCCCAGCAGGATCGCTGTCCTGACACAGCCTGTCCATATCCTGCTCGGGAGCAGGGCTTTGTCCCTCCTGCGGGGAACACTGACACACCCTCTGTGGATCCCCACTCACTCAGCCACCCCCTGAGGTCTTACCCAGGGCAGTTTGTCTTTGCACTTCCTGGAGGTGCTGGCGGCGCTGGGATTCCCGAGCATCTTCCTGTACATCTCCGTCTCCACGTTCCTCTGGTCCGCGTGTTTCTTCACCAGCTTGGAGAGCTCAGCGTGGATGGTCTAGGGAGGACAAGGTGGTGTTATCAGCCCTGCACCACCCCTGCCTGCCAGGGAGGGGACGTGTCACCCACAGCAGGTTCCACCACCCCCTGGGATGTGCAGAAATGTCGTGGAAGAGCTTAGAAACAGCGGAGAGGGTGATCAGGCTTCACCCTGCCCCACGTCCCAACGCCACGGGGTTGCACCAGGCTGGCATGGAACACCCTGTGGGTCCAATGCCCCTCCGTCCTTCTTGGCTGCTCAAGCCACTCCCTGCCTGGCAGCAGGGAGCAGAGCCCAGGGCTGATGCCAGACATCACGAAAAGGATTTTATCCTTTAATCGAGACAGGAAAGTGTCTGCCTTGAGGACAGACATGTGCCAGCTCTCCCACTTTCTGTCTGGAAGCAGGCTGGGAAAGCAGGCTTAAAACTCAGTCTGGTGTGAAGTGGGATTGCAGCAAGACCCGCAGCGTGCCCACACCTGCCCTGCTGGGGCAGGAAAAGGCTCTGAGTCCTGCGTGGGGCCCACAGGCTCCCCAAAAGCAGCAGCAAGAGACAGGGAGCCGAGCAGGGCAGGGTGGCAGAAGGACGTTTTGGTGGCCCTGGTGGCACGGCCATGCTGTGCCCTCTGCTGGGGGACACATCCCGAGAACACCAACTCTGCCAGCCCGTGCCACACCGGGAAAAGCTGCCTCCAACACCAAAATTTGGCTGTCTGGAGCATGGAACGCCCCTGCTCGCAGCTCAGCGGGGCTGTCACATCGGTGTAAGACAACCACAAACATCCCACACTGCTCCTAGAACATTTCCCAGGGGTCAGGAGAAGGGATGTCTGTGACAGCCTGGCAGGAGGCAGGTGGAGCCCAGCATTTCTGGAGTGTTTTCAGCACCGGTAGCCGTGGCCCCTGAGTCACCCACGCCACGACTGGAGTGGCACCGCCACTTCCCCGGGCAGCAGCCAGGGAGGGCAGTAATTTGCTGTACTTGTGGTTTCACTGGACACGTCACTGCCGGGCATTTGGATTTTCCAGCCCTCTCCAATTAAAAGCTCCATCGGAACTGGGGAGCAGCCGCCCTGCTCAGGGACGTGCCAGGGGAATGGTTCCCAGTGCTGCTCCCTCTCCACCCTGACCTTGCTGGGAAAGGAAGGGTTTGGGGTCCTGCTCACCCTTCCAAGGGTGCTCAGACCACCCCTGAAGGTGCTGCGGGGTCACCAAGCACCTGTTTGTGCCACATCCCACCCGTGACCTTCAGGGATTGGATCATGACACAAATCCTGATGGTCTGGTGAAATCCCCATGGAAAAAAATGGATACAACAGATCCAGACAAAGATTAAAGCCCATCTGGAGAGCCAAGACCCCCAGGACAACTCTGTGCAGGCAACACCTCCCTGTCTCCTCCCAGTCTCGCTCCTGCTGTGGTCATTTCCTGGCACTGGTTTTTGATTTCTCCCGAGGCTCCAGTCCTGCAGCTGATCATTAACTGACAGGAAATTCCTGACCCAGAGCTCGCCCTGCCCGGGCGCTGGACCGAGGTCTGGCTGCTCCCACCACCCAGTGATTCACTCCTGGGGCTGCTCAGCGAGTTTGTGGGGACTCAGCTCTGCTCCACTTCCCTCAACCACAGCACGAACTGCCCGAGCCACCTGGGGAACCTGGAACAGCCTGGACCATCCCCAAGGCATGGCTGGAGCACGGATGGGCTGCCAGGGAGTCCTGTCACTGTCAGGAGCAAAGGTCAATGTGGAGATAAGAGACTCCATGTGCTACATCATTCCTCAGGCTCTGGGACCTATTCCCAGCCTCTCTTCATGGAGCTGGGGACAGCTCCAGGGGTTCTCAGCCTTCCAGAGGGGACACTGAGGTTTGTAGGGACACAGACAAGAGAGGAGCATCCAGGAGACCCCCAGCTCAGGTAGCACATACCTCCAGCCTACCTTGTTTGAAGGCTCCAGCTTCAATGCTGCCTTCAGGATGGGAATGGCCTCTCTGTATTCTCCCTGCTGAGCCAGCACCTGGAGGGTGGCACATGGATGGAGCAGGGCTGTCCCTCAGTCCCCTGCCACACCAAGGAGAAGGGACCCCTCCTCACCTTTCCCTTTCGGAACAGAGCCTTGATGTTCCCTGGCTGGTGCTCCAGCACGAGGTTACAGGACTTGAGAGCTGCCTTGAAATGGTCCAACTTCAGCTGCGAGGCCGCCAAGTTGTTGAGACACTTCACCTTCACGTCCAGCAGCTCAGCCTCCTCTTCTGGGCTGAAATCCACTGCACGGACCCCGAGGCCAGGTCACAGCAGGGCCAGGAGCCCAGGTGACCCTCTCTTGGTGGGGGGACAGGTACCTTTGGAGCTGGAGCCCACGATCCTGAGAGCAATGTCGTAGGAGTTGATGGCCAGCACATAATCTGCCTGCTGGTAGAAGAAGTTGCCGCGCTCCCGTTTGCGGTTGGCCAGCTGGATCTTCTCCTTGCCACTGAGCAGCTCCAGGTCTGGAGCGTCCCGAGCTGCCAGCAGCTCCACCTCCAGCGTGAGGGACGCGTTGGGGGGGATGTCAGGGCTCCTGCACAAAGCCATGCAACCATTGTCACCTCTCAGATGCTGGGTTTAGCACCACGGCTCAGAAATCCGAGCCAGGGAATGAGGGGGATCTTTCCACTCGAGGACGTGCTGCTCATGGCAAGTGAGGAAGCAGAGGTTGGACAGCTGGGCTGTCACCAGGTGAGCAGGGGACAGCTTCCCCAGCCCTGTGTGGGACTACCCTGCTCCACCTGATGTGCTGCCAGCTCACCTGCCCTGAGCTCCGTAGCAGTACTTGGCATCTGACACGATCAAAGCTGTTTCTCCCATCTCCAGAAGCTGCACACACAGGTCCAGAGCCTGCAGAAAACAACATGGGATCACTGTGGAGATTATCCAATTCCAACCTCTTGCCACGGGCAAGAACATCTTCCACAAGACCAGACTGCTCCAAGATCTCTCTGACTTGGTCAACATCATAAGAAGTGAGCACAAGAAAGGGCAGAGGGGCCATTTTAATGCACAAACGGGATGTTACTGACTCCAACCTTCCCCGTGACCCCTGAGGCAGTGATAAAGCCAGGTGAGCTCCCACCCAGTGTTCACCTGCATGACGTCGCAGTCCCCCAGCGTGAAGGTGAGGGCAGGATCCTCTTCCACCACGGTGCCATCCTCCAGCGTGGCCTTCAGGCGGATTGTCACGTCCTGGCCTTTTTGGGGACGGCTGTCCACACCCTGGCCGGGCACCAGCGTCTTCTTCTTGAGCAATCCACTCCCTGGGCAGAGAAAAACCAGAGGGCATCGGGACACGCCGTGGAGGGAAAAACCCGACTGCTCCCCCCTTCTCTGGCTCCTGCCCGGCCTAAGTGGCGCCTGTAACCCCGGGGAAGCCCGAGAGGCCGCAGAACCGAGCGCTCTCCTGCCCTCACCCAAAACATCGAGCCACTCCTGAGGCTCCCCGGCCGCGTCCCCCGCTCCCTGCTCCGGGGGCTGCGCGTCCTCCCGCGGCGGGGCCGGTGGCCGGCCCACGTCCTCCAGCGGGGGCAGCTCGCTCAGGTCATCCTCATCCTCATCGCCTTCCTCTTCCAGGACCTCGAAATCCTCCGCCGTGTCCAGCTGAGCCGCGTCCGCCGCCGTCTCGGTGCCGGTGCCTGCCCGGCCCGGGGAGCCGCTCCTCGGTTCCTCCCCGCTGGACGCCATCGCGGCGGAGCAACCTGGAATGGGGACAGAGGGCAGGGATCGGGCCTGCTCTTACCGGCAGAGACGCTCCGCCGGCCCGGGGACCGCCGGGACCCTCTGGGGACGGAGGATGCGCAACGGGACAGCGGAGACACCGGAGCGCCGGGGAAGGATCGGGCCTGGCGGGGGCGCGGGGGCTCGGTCTGGGTGGGATGGGGGGAGGGAGGGGGTGTCTGTCCCGGTAGGATCGGGGGAGGGGTCGCGGTCCCGGCCCGGTACCGTGGGGAGGGGGGGGCGGCCCCGCGCCCCCCGCCCGCCCCACGTGACCGCCGCGCGCCCCCCGCCGCTCCCACCTGGCCCGCGAACGCGCGGGCAAAGGCCCCGCCCCCGCTGCTCCTATTGGCCCGGCCCCGCCCACCGCGCGACGCCATTGGGCGGGGAGCACGCTCGTCAGCCACGCGCCCGCGGCGCCCCCGACGCCTTAAAGGGGCCGCCACCAGCACGGCCGCCCTGGCGCGGGGGACAGCGGGCCCGGGGGTTTGCACCGGTACCGGAGAGGCTCCGTGATGCCTGTGGGGGTCGTGACCCTGTCGCCCCGCCGGTCTCCGACACTTCCGGCTCGGCGCGGTGACGCCGCGGGGTCGCGCCCCACGTGACTCCGCACCCGGAAGCGGCGCGGAGCGGCCGCCGGTGCCGCCCCCGGTACCGCTCTTACTCCCGTCATGTGAAGCGGCGGGACGGGCTCCCGCAGGTGCGCGGGCACTGCTGGTGGGAGTTCCCGGGGACGCCAGTGAGGGCTCAGGCCCGCATGTCCCCGAGGGAACCCGGGGCTGGCGGCGCTACCGGGGCCGGGGGCGGCCAGGGGACTCCCGTTACCGGAGTGTGAGGCCACCCCGGGAGGGGGCACGGTGGGGGGGTTCCCGGTACTGGGCGCATGGCAGGGCGAAGGGAGACCCGCTATCACGGAGGGGAAGGGGTCTCCGTTACCGGCGCGGGGGGCTCGGGGCGCTCCGGTCCCGCCGGCTGAGCCACCCTCGCGGTCCCGCAGGTCACGATGGAGCCCACGGCCTCGCAAGTGTTCTGCGGGAGGGTGCTGGGCATGGTCAACGCCGAGGACGTGAACGCCATCATCCTGGCCCAGAAAAACATGTGAGTCCCCGGGGGAGAGGCCGGTGGGAAAGCCGGTACCGGCACCGGGATCCTCCCGGCATCTTTGCCGAGCTCCGTCTGCCTCCCCCGCGCAGGTTGGATCGGTTTGAGAAGACGAACGAGATGCTGCTCAACTTCAACAACCTGTCCAGTGTCCGCATGCAGCAGATGAACGAGCGCTTCCTGCACCACACCAGGACCCTGGTGGAGATGAAGAAGGACCTGGACAGCATCTTCCGGAGGATCCGGTGGGAAACGGGGTGGGAACGGGCAGGGAGATGGCATGGGGGGACTGGGTGGGGTGTGAGGATGTTAAAGTGGGGCACGAGTCAGGGTTTGGGGGGTTGTAAGAAGGAAAATCTGTTGGGGAAGGGAAACTATGATGCTGGAGGGAGTGGAGGGTGGAGCTTTGGGTTTCCGTGATCCTGCACGGGATGGGCTGTGCTGCCTTGGGAGCTGCTCGAGGTGATCACAAAATGTGGGGTTTTGTGTGCTGGGAGGGTGGGATGGGGTGTTCCGGGGGGTTGGGAAGGGAATCCCTCAGCTTTGGGATTTGTTTGTGTTGTCCATGACTGCTGTTGGGCAGCTCAGCTCCCCACGGACTTGGATTGTTCTCTCCTCCCCAGGACACTCAAAGGGAAGTTGGCAAAGCAGTACCCAGAGGCTTTCAGCAGTGAGTGATTCCTGACACGCGGATTCACGGAGTTGTGGAATGGTTTGGGTTGGAAGGGACCTTAAAGTTCATTCAGTGCCACCCCTGCCATGGCAGGGACACCTCCCACTATCCCTGATTGCCCCAAGCTCTGTCCAGCCTGGCCTTGGACACTGCCAGGGATCCAGGGGCAGACACAGCTGCTCTGGGCACCCTGTGCCACCCTCCCAGGGAGGAATTCCTTCCCAATATCCCATCTATCCCTGCCCTTTGGCAGTGGAAGCCATTCCCCCTTGTCCTGGCACTCCACGCTCGGTTTTCCTCCTGTGGGAAGAGTCTCTGTTCCTAAGAACGCGTGAGGCATCTTTCAGAAATCAGGAGAAGTCCATGTGCTGGCCCATGGCTGCCTCCCTAAAAGTCCAGAAAACTCCTTAATTTCATTAAAACCAGTCACAAGAAATAGCAAACAACCACTAACTTGTGTGCTGGTGATTTAGGGGATATTTTAAATCCCTGCTCCAAGCAGAATTAGGGAATTGCTCTCCTGGTGTCCCACCACAAACACCACCTCCCTCTTCCCTCGCAGACATCCACGAATCCCCCATCCTGGAGGACGACGACGACTTCGACCCTGTCCCCAAGAGCACCACAACCACCATCGCTACCTCTGAGCAGAGCACGGAGTCCTGTGACACCAGTCCCGACGTCATCTCCCCCACCACCAGCCAGGATTTCGAGGATTTATCCCAAGGCCAGTACGACGGCCCAGCCATGAACGGACAGAGTCTCACAGACGAGGACACGGCCAACGGCCTGGACTAGGAGCCACGTGCTGCCCCTGGAGAACTTTCTATCCTGTATTTATATTTGTGTGTCGCTTTTTTTTTTTTTTTTTTTGCCTCGGGAAGAGGGAAGCCAAGGCTGGGAGAAGCTGAGGGGAGGAAGGTGCTGCCTTTCTGCCTTGAAACTGCCACTGAGGTGTAAGCCCACCGCTCGCTTCAGGGGGAATCAGTAAATCCTGGGTTGGAAATACCTCTTGTCCTCCCTCCTTCCTGCACTCAGGAGAGTGGCTAAACTCCATCGTCCGTGTAGATTTTTTTTTTGGTGCAGAAAAGCCCTTTTTGGGGCACAGGTGTTTATATTTCGTAAGGAGTGTTGTCTCTGAGGCTCCGTGTGCCCACCAGCTCTGTCCCTGCTGCTGATGGATTTGTGCTGGCCGAGTTTTGCACTGCTGGGATGAGCCAGAGCTGTTGCTTCCCTTTGGTTCTGACACTTAGCCCCTCACATGGTGCTGCTGGTTGCTCCACAGGCAGCCTCTCAGGAACAGGACTTGTCCAGATCTTTCTTTTCCACCAGCGTTGTGGTGTGATGGAGGAACTGCTTGGGTTTGGGGGTCCTGGTGACCTGGGAGAGGATGACAGGAGAGGTGGGGGGGGCTGGGTTGTGGGGCTGATCCTGTGATCCTGGAACTGTGGGATCCGTCATGGGGATGGTTCTGGGGCTGTGGGGTCCATGGGGTCAGTGCGGCCCTGGTCCTGGCCCTTTGGGGCCGCTCGTGGGTCCAGTCCTGTGGCCGTGGGGCCGGTCCCAGGGCCCTGTGGGCAGTGTCGGGTTTGGGGGGACGGTCCTGGGGCCATGGGGTCAGGGTCGGTCTGGTCCCAGGTCCGTGCAGACCCTCCCGTGCTCTGTCCCGCGGTGCCGGTGTCACCCCGGCAGCGATAGGACAGTGAGGGGACGGTCGCGGGGCGGTGCCGGTGTCACCCCGACAGTGACGGGGCTGTAGCGGGGCGGTACCGGTGTCCCCGCCGGAAGTGACGTGTCTGTCGCGAGGCGGTACCTGTGTCCCCGTCGGAAGTGACGCACGCGCGGTTCCGGTCCCGCCTCCCTTTCCCTCAGCAGCGAGGCCGCGGGTGCGCGCGGTGCGGGACCGGAGCGGGCCCGGGGGCCGGGGTGGGGGCCCTGGATCCCGGGAGGGGCCGGTGGATCCCGGGAGGGGGAGTGGAATGCGGCAGGAAGGCTTGGGACCCGAGGAGGGGGGGAGGCTGGATCCCCGAGTGGGGGCGGGAACCCCGGGAGGGGCCCTGGGTCCCCAGGGACGGGACTGGGTCCCGCGGGAGGGCCCCGAAACCCGGGATGGAGGCTGGATCCCGGGAGAGCGGGGCTGGATACCGGGAGGGATGCTCAGGAACGGGGCCCTGAAAGGGTTTGAGGGGTCGGGGAGTGGCGCGGCCCTGTCGGGGGCGGGACACGGCGACAACGGGGCCGGCCCGGGGTGACGCGGCCACCGCTCCCACAGGTGAGAAAGTGCCAAGATGCAGATCTTCGTGAAAACCCTGACGGGCAAAACCATCACCCTCGAGGTGGAGCCCAATGACACCATCGAGAACGTGAAAGCCAAGATCCAGGACAAGGAAGGTACTAGAGGGGCCAGGAGTAGCGGGGTGGCCCCATGGGGGTCCCCCGGTGTCCCCACCACAGTGATTCTGTCCTGCAGGGATCCCCCCCGACCAGCAGCGTCTGATCTTCGCGGGGAAGCAGCTGGAGGATGGCCGCACTCTCGCAGACTATAACATCCAGAAAGGTACTCCCCGGACCCCTGGGGTTTTTAGGGAGCGTTTTTGGGGTGCCAGCTGCTCCTTTCCCCCGGTGTGACACCGATCTCTCCTTGCAGAGTCCACACTCCACTTGGTGCTGCGCCTGCGAGGGGGAATCATCGAACCCTCCCTGCGCCAGCTGGCCCAGAAGTACAACTGCGACAAGATGATCTGCCGCAAGTACGTCCCTGTGTCCCCTCCCAGTGTCCCCTCCCCTCCCTCCTGCCGCCCCCCAGCTCCCAGAGCCCCTCCCCGGGGACACCGGGCTCTGCTGACCTGTCCCTCTCCAGGTGTTACGCCCGCCTGCACCCCCGCGCCGTCAACTGCCGCAAGAAGAAGTGTGGACACACCAACAACCTGCGCCCCAAGAAGAAGGTCAAGTAAAGCCTCCAGCCCTGCCTGCACTGGCCAATAAAGTATTGCAACGCTCAGCCCTGTTTTTTGGTCTTTTTTTTAGCCAAATTGGTGTGGTTTTCAATAAATGGGGGCTGTGCTGGGTGAGGGAAACAGGGAGGGATGGAGGGGGTGGTGCTGGTGGTCAGTGCCTGCAGCAGTGCGTGCATGGACTGGGCCAGCACTGGGACCTGGCAAGGACTGGTTTGGCACCAGAACCATACACAACCTCTGCTGTTCATGCACTGGGACCCCCCAGGCACTGGGGCTGACTGTCACCTGGGCCCCCTACCTGCCCCTGCTCATGCACTGGGAGCTCTGGCAGGGTCTGGACAGACACTGGGACCCCTGGCGCCGTGCACACAACAAAAGCGGGCACCGGGAGCCCTCCTGGCCACGCGTGCATGAGACCCACTCAGTCCTGGGATCTCCCTGCTACGCTGCAAACTCACCGGGAGCCCCCGGCGCCGTGCCCAGGGACCAGCACCGGGACCCCCCCCTGTTCACGGAACAGCCCGGAGACCCCACTGCACCCCCTACCCACCCAGCGGGACCCCCGGCCGTGCGCTCACAGCACAGACCGGAGCGGGGACCCGGCACGGGGCACCGGCAGTGGCGGCGCTGCCGCTCGGTGCCTGCAGGTGGCGGCGGAACCGCGCTCCGCCCCGCGGGCCCCGGGCCTGCGCCGTGCGGCCGGGCCGGGCCATGGTGAGCGGGACGGGAACGGGAACGGCCGCCGGGGGACGGGAAGGGCGTCCCGGGACCGAGCGGGTGGTCACGGAGTGTCCTGGGGACGGGGCGGGGATGGGGGGGTCCCGGTGCCCGTCTGTGTGGATCCCGGTGCCGGTCCGTGCACACGTGGACGGGGGTCCCGGTGCCCGTCAGGGTTGTGGGAGCATGGCCGGGATCCCGGTGCCGGTCCAGGCATACGAAAAGAGGGGTCCCGGTGCCCATCGGTATCGCGGGCACGTGTCCGGGGGTCCCGGTGTCAGTCCGGTTCGTGTATAAGTGGCCTGGGGTCCCGGTGGGTGGGCAGGGGGCTATGGGGGGTCCCGGTGTCCGCCTGTGTTGTGTACGCAAGGCTGGGGGCTCCCGGTACGTGGGTACCGGGATGGGCGGATCCCGGTACCGGTGCTGGGCTCAGCTCAAGCACCGCGGCCAGAACCCACCTGGGACCCCCCAAGAACCGGTGCTGGACGAGGACGCGTTGCCCCAGCACTGGGGTGACCCCCCTGGGCGGCACCGGCTCTGCCCGGAGCCCGTTACCGGGTCACCGGTGCCACCGAGTCCCCCAGCGCCACCCTCCCCTTCTGTCCCGCAGACGGGCGAGACCGTGCGGGAGCTGCTGCAGCGGCTGCGGGCGCTGCAGAGCGAGCGGGTCGAGACTTACCGGCTCTTCGAGGAGTGAGTACCGGTACCGGGGCGGGCGGGACACGCGGCACCTCCCAACAGGGAAGCGGATCCCCCACCCCGTTTATTTTGCATCCTGTTGGGACGGGGCCGTGGGGGTGGCTGATGAGCTCCAGCTGGCAGCAGGGCCCTGCGCTGGACACCTGAATCCTATTTTAGTATCCAGCAGATGATGGACTTGCTGGGATGCAGGGTTGAGAGTGTAAAGGATGAAAAAAAAATCCAACCCCCCAAAAAAACTTTCCCTCCGAAAAAAGTGTTTTCTAACCCTGTCCCCTATGAAGCTGCCTGGTCATGCTGCCAAACCCAGGCAGGAACAGGCAGGAGAACCCTCCTGGTACTGCCTGTGGCACATGCCAAAGGGGGCTCAGCTCTGGGCTGGGCACCCCAGGTGTGGTGACAGTGGCTTTTCCCCCCGCTCACCTGTCCCCAGGGGCCACCAGGCATACCTGAGCAGTGCCCCCCACTATGACTTCCCCCGGTACCGGCAGCTGGTGCACGAGGTCACCGTGGCCTTCAGTGGCATCTCCCGGGAGGTGCTGGACATCGCCGGGCGCCTGCGGGACCAGCTCGGCCGCCCCGACCTGGCCCAGCACCTGGCCCGGCTCCAGGAGCGGGAGCAGGAGAAGCTGCAGCTGGTGGGTACGGGGCTGTCGGGGGGTCTCTGGGGCAGTGCTGGGGCTGTTTTGGGGGGTCACAGCTCCCATGGTGTCCCCCCACAGACGGCGCAGCTGCAGCTGGCCCGGCAGCAGGCACAGGACCAGCCCGAGGTGGATGCCCATCAGCAGGAGGTGCAGGAGCTCAAGCACAAGTAGGTGGTGGCCTCGCTGTTGTCCCTTCTCATTTTGGGAAGGCAGCATCCCCTAGCCCAGGACCCCCACTGCCATCCCTATTTTGGGATGGCACCCCCTCCCCAGCCCGCGGAATCCTGGAGTGCCCTGAGTTGGAAGGGACGCGCACGGATCATGGAGTCCAGGCCAGGAGCCCCTTCCCTGTGTTTCCCCGCCCTCCCCCCGGCCCAGGGGGGCCCAGATGGTGCCTTCGGGGTCTGGCAGCGCTGCGTGGCCGCGTCCCCTCGGCCTCCCCGGGCTGAGTGTTTCATAAACAGCGCGGGGAAGGCGAGGCGGCCCACATAATACGCTCCATATGGGCTTTATTTATAGTTTCCATCCGCTCTCGTAGGCTAATTAAAACCATTGAGGCAATCAGCGAAATTCTCCAGGACCTTAAGTACGATTCGGAAGAAGTTGAGTGATGGGTGTCCCCGTGGGAACGGCTGGAGGGGCCGGGCTGGTGGAACGGGGGCCCCGCTCATCCCCCACCCGCTCCCAGTGCACCTTGGCAAGGTGGGCATTGTCCTCTGGGCCCCTTTTCTGGAGCACAGGCTGGAAGGGGTGGGGAAGCCTCCTCTGGGAGAAGTGGGGTCCCCCGAAATCCCGAGTATCCCTCAGCAGAGGGGTCTGGCGTGGGGCTGGTTCCCCTCCCCGGCTGTGCCGGGGCTGTGCCAAAGGCAAACCCCACCCTGCGGTGCCAAGGGGCTGCCGTGCTTTGGTCCCCATCGAGGTGGGCACTGTCCCTGCTGCCAGCTGGAGTCCCATGGGAGCAGTGCCCCCAAAACCACATCTTGGAGACCGGCTCTGCCCCCAGCCCCGCTGCAGCTCCGGTGCTCCACAAGCACTTTTTCTTTGGTCACCCCAAATAAACCTGTCTCTACTGAGCTGGCCTAAGTGGTGTGATCTCAAGGGTGCGTGTGGCCCCCGCTGCCCCAGTGCCACCCCCTCCACCTTGGCTGGGTCCCCTGGGAGCCCCGGGATGGGGTGACAGGGGCCACGGGCCCCATTTGGCTGCCCGCTGCATCCCCGTCCCCGCGCAGCACTGCCGCTCCGCTGACGCAGACCCCGGTGGGGTTTCAGAGGTTTATTGGCATTAAGCTTAAATCTGTTCCTAATTGACTGAAATGGAACCAAAATAAGGCTGGTTTGAATCAAAACTGGAGCAGGCACTGGGCAAACCCCAGCAGCCTCCAATCAGCCCGCGTGGCTCCCCGGGGACAGACCCCTTCCCGTGCGCTCGCACGTGGGATCCCGGCGAGAAAAGGGCCAAAATCGCTTCCCGGGGGGAACTGCGGCGAGGGTGGGGTCGCCCGGGAAGCCCCCGCCGCCCCTTTCATCCCACAGGCTGCTCCGGCTGGCGGAACAAAGCCCCCGTGCCCCTCCCGGCCGGGCAAGGCTGAGGGGTCCCCTCGTTGCCTCGTTCCACAGAGCCCCCGGGGCTGGGCCAGCCAGGCCCCCCAACCTCACCCCACCCCATCCCCCAGGGCTGCGGGGCCGCGCTGCGCCCCGGCCGCCTCCCAGCGCCCCCGCGGCGGGGCCGGGGCGGGCGCGGGCGGTCCCGGGTGGGCGCCGGGCGCCCCGTCCCATCCTGCCGGCGCTCGGTCCCCCGCGGGCTACAACTTATCGCCGGGAAGAACCTGCGGAGAGGAGCAGAGCCCCGCGTCGCCCCGGGGTCGGCGTCACCCCCCCAGCATCCCTGGGGTGGGGGGTTCACCCCTCGTCCCCCCCCCCCCCGTCCCCACCCAGCCGGTGGAGAAGAAGTGCGAAAGGCTCCTTACCTACCTGGTTGCGTGTTTTGTGCGATTTCTGCAGCCACACGCGCCACTGGTCGTAGAGTTTGATGCCGAGGTTGGAGCAGCCGTAGGCGTGTTTCTTCACCCACCCGAAAAACTGCTTCAGCTCCCGCCGCAGCGTCGTGTTCTGCTCCCCACCTTTGGGGTCGCAGCCCCCCGCCACTCGCTCTGCGGGGACAAAGGGGACGGTGTCACACGGAGGGACTCGCCTCAACCCTGCCATCACCGCCGTGGCGAGAATAACGAGGGCCGAGAGGAACACGAGCAGGTTTTGGCTCCCAGCTGGGAAAGCCGAGCTCGGAATTGGCTCCTTTGCAAGAAATCCAGGTGCTGGGCATGGGGCGGGGAAGGGCCCCCCGCACGTCCCCGGTGTGCGGGGAGGGGAGCGCGGCACCGGCGGCACTCACCGCTGCGTGGGGTGGAGGCGGCCGTGGGGTTACTCCAGTCACTCCAGATCCCGGCTTTCTTGGAGCCGTAGATGCTGAAGGGATTACAGCGCACCTGGACGAAGTAGACGGTGCCGGGGCGGAGGCCGGCCAGGCGACAGGAGGTCTGGTTGCCCACGTCATCCACCACCTGCGGAAGAAGGAGATGGGAGCACCTGGACCCTCGGCCACCCCGCCCTGTCCCCCGGCATGGCAGTGCCCACCCACCTTCCACTCGGAGCTGTCCTCTACCCGGTATTGGATCTGGTACTTGGCTTGGAAGAGGAAATCCTTGAGGGCCGGCGGGGAGCTCCAGCGCACGCTCAGCTGGTCCTCCAGGTCGCCCACCCTGCTGACGTGCACGTCCGACGGCGGGTCCGTGGTGACTGCGGGGACAGCGCAGGGCTGGCGGGGACAGCGGGGCAGCGCCGCGGGGCCGCGAGGGTTAAGGAGCCGCGGATGTAAAAGCGACTCGGAGCAAACAGCCTAATTCGATTAGGAGCAATTCTGCTCACATATCGCCCATTTCCTGCCGCCCCCCGCCCCCGCCCAGCGCCGCCCCTCCCCGCCAGGTCACCGGCACGGCGGTGACACCGTGGCGTGGCTCACCCACGTCGAGGATGTCCAGCATGACCACGTCGGACACGGCCACCCCCAGGCGGTTGGACGCCTCCACCCAGATCTCGTAGGGCGTGAACAGAGCCAGGTCCTTGGGGATGTGGCAGGAGTAGGTGCCGGCCGTGTGGTATTCCTGGCAGGTGTTGTCCTGGCCATACCACCTGCGGGCAGGTGATGGGTGAGGTACCAGCACTGCTCCCCCATTCCCTGGGATGCTCCCTTGGGTCGTTTTTTGGCCGTTCCACACCGCCAGAATTGGGGGACCGGCCCCGTGGTTCACCCAGCTCAACCAGGCCCGCTGCAGCTTCTCCTCACCCTCCCCAGCTCCGTGAGGAAACTCATCCCAGCAGCAACAGCCCCGAGCAGGGGCCAGCCAGGAGGCATCGAGCTGCCCGTTCCCCGTTCCCCGTTAAATCCCAGTCCAAAGTTTTTAACAATAACATGGAGTAAGGCGAGCACCCACCTGCGCTTGTACTTGAGGGTGTAGTTGGTGTGCAGGAAGGTCTCCCCTTCTGTCCCCGGCGCCCACTTGCAGGTCAGGTCTTTCATGTTTTTGGACCAGCAAGTGATGTTGACTGGTTTTTCTGGGGGTACTGGGAGAGACAAAAACCAAAAAACAAGAGGTTCCAGAGCTGGTTTTTTCCAGCCATGGAGACACAAACCCCAAATCCAAGCTGCATTCCCAGCTGAGCCTCTGTATTCCCAGGAATGCGTAGCGACCCAAAAAACAAACCCAGGCTGCATTCCCCGTTCCGATTCTGTATTCCTGGGATGTAGCATCGTCCTTAAAATAGCCCGAGATAAAATCTTACGATTATTGGTTCGGACAAGTGCATTTTAACCGAGGCTTTGCCGAAACGGCCTCTCAGCAGCTCGTGGGTTTGTGGTTCCACCAGAGCAGCTCCTGGCACGCCTTGGTGAGAACCAGGGCACTGATCCCCCCGAGGGGATCCCCGGCTTCTCTCCCATGGGGGACGCACATCCCGGTGCTGGCCAGACCCCGGTACAGAACGGCCAGACCCCGGTACAGAACAGCCAGACCCTGGCACAGAGTGTCCAGACCCTGGCACAGAGTGTCCAGACCCTGACACCAGCGGGACCCTGGAACACAGTGGTCAAACCCTGGCACAGAGCAGCTGGACATCAGCACAGAGTGGACCCAGCACACAGTGTCCAAACCTCAAAATGGAATGATCACACCCTGTGAGTGGCTGGACCCTGGCACAGAGTGACCAGGCCCCAGCACAGTGACCAGAACCCAGCAGTGACCAGCAACCCTGGCAGAGAGTGACCACACCCCAATACAGAGTGACCAGCCCCCGATACAGAGTGACCAGACCCCGGCACAGAGTGACCAGACCCCAATACACAGTGACCAGCCCCCGATACAGAGTGACCAAACCCCGGCACAGAGTGACCAGACCCCCGGCACAGAGTGACCAGACCCCTGGTACAGAGTGACCAGACCCCAGCACAGACTGACCAGACCCCCGGCACAGTGACCAAACCCCGATACAGGGTGACCACCCCCCGGTATGAACGGCAGCACCCACGTACATCCAACGTAAAGGCAGGAGCCGGCCAAGATGCCACCGTCTCTGCTGTGACACACCAGGTTGTCCCCCGACTGCTGCCTGGAGCCGTTGAGGCGAGCCAGGGCCACGCTGAGCGTGGAGGGGCCCAGGGCGGCGTAGGAGGCGGCCGGGAGGCGCCGCCCGTTCAGCGTCCAGTACAGGTCCTCGGCTTTCAGCGGAAAGTCCGGGCTGACCGTGCACGTGGCGACCAGCGAGGAGCCGATCAGCAGGGTGGGGTCTTGGGGGGAAATCACGGCGGGGTCTGCAGCCGGAGAGACAGAGAGCGGGGGAAAAAAATCAATTATGTACAGCTTAGAGCTGTCTAAGTCTGTCTTATGTCTATTTAAATATATTTTATATCTGTTTTACGTTGATTTTAACGCCTTTAAGTCTCTTCTGTAGTCATTTAAACACGTTTTATATCTATTTAAATACGTTGTTTTGCTATTTTACATCGATTTAAATCATCACGTCTATATCAATTGAAATAATCATTTATGTTTTATATTAATTTAAATACATTGTTTAGCTATTTTGCATCGATTTAAATCATCACAAGCCTATACTGATTTAAATCACACATCTATTTTATATAGATTGAAATCATCACATATCTATTTTCTATCAATCCAAACACACTGGTTTCTATTTTACGTCAATTTAAACAGACTGGTTTCTATTTTACATTGGTGTAAATGCGTTTCATATCTATTCTTTACTTCTACGCATTTTACATCCATTTAATGCCTAAAGACATTTTCTATCTTTTATATCTATTTAAATAGTTTTATATCTATTCTATATCTCAGTACACACCTATTTTTATCTCTTTAAATACACCTTTTACCTACTTTTATATCTACATATATTTTATATCTAGACATTTTAATATCTCTTTTTATATCTACGTCTATTTTAGAACTTTAAAAGTACTTTTTTGTATCTACTTTTTTTTTTTTTTTTTTGTCCCCAGGGGTGGGGCGGGGCTGGGTCGCGGCTTCGGAAGTTTTTCCGCGACAAAAGGATTTCAAAAAGGGAAAATTCGAGGGGATTTCCCCCCTCTTCCTTCCTTTTCCAAAGTCCGGCATTTCCCCCTGGACCGCTTCCCCGCCATGTGCTCCCAAATTTCCCAAATCCCATCGCTCTCCCCTCGCCACCCCGAGGTTGCTGCCGGCTGGGAGAGGGGAAATTCCCATCCCGGTTTATCCCGGGACCCCTCGGCCCCGCTCCGGGGTGTTCCGTGTCCGTCAAGCCCTTATCGGCTCCATCCGCACGCGCCGGGCTAATATCCCAAATTACCTCCCGGAAAGTGCCGCGACCTCCCCGCCCCTCCGACCTCCCGGCCCCGCTCGGCTTTCAGCGCCCGCCCGGCGTTCCCAAAATCCCCGTCACGCCGGGCAGATCCTAATTAGGGGTCCCCGCTGCCCGCTCCGCCTCCCTCCCTCCGCAATTAGCGCTCTGAGATCCTCGTTATGCCGGGGAGAATTAATTGGGAATTGCCGCCGCGTTTGGGGGATGCTGGGGGCGGGGAGGGGGTGACACAATCCAGCAGCCAAATATCCGTGGATCGGTGCCAGACACCCCAAAGTGCTCCGAGCATCCGTGGGTGGGTGCCAGGCACCCCGGGGTGCCCCCGGGCTGGTACCAGGCACCCCAAACATCCCCGGGACGGTGCTGGGTACCCCGGGACACCCCGAGCATCCACGGATGGCGATGGATCCGTCCCATCCCTCGGAACAAACCCTTCCCAAGGCCAGCCAGGCCTCTGGAAATCTCATCCCCCCTCTCTGCCAACCCCGCCACGAGCCGAGCCCGGAGCTGCTGCGGCTCTGCCGATAACAGAGCCAGCACTCCGAGCCCTGATTCTCCTCAATCTTAATCTAAACAGCCCCAGAAACTCACACGAGCTCCGTAAAACAGACACGTTTCCCATCCTCCGAGCAGGACCCTCTGGAGGAGCCAATTTTCTCTCTCTCTGTATTTTTTTTTTTCCCCTGCATTTTGGGTTTTTTTTCCCCTCCTCCAAGCAGGACCCTCTAGAGGGGCCAATTATATACATATATATATTATACTTTTTTTCCCCCTGGAATTATTTCCCTCCCCTCAGCGCGGCCGCAGCGCTGAACATGTGTTTTAAAAGGGAAAAGTGTGAAGTTTTCCGAAAGGAGAGGAAAGGGCCGGAGAGACGCAGGCGGGCTGTGGAATGTGCAAGTTGCAACGAAAATACCTGCTCGGGGGTTTTATGGCTTCTCTATTGCAAAAAAAAAAAATGCTGATCAGGTGCTAAGTAATGCTATAAAGTAAAACCACATTTCCAAGGTGTCGGGAACGTTTATGCTTTTCTTCCGAAGGGCCGGATTTCATTTTAGTTTTATATCGGAGTTTTAAGAGGTTGGGAAAGAAAAGGGGGCAAGAGAAAAAAAAAAAAAAAAAAAGCTCCGATAAGTGTCAGAGATCACACAGTTAAAAAAGATTTATTGAGCTGTGCAGGGGGTTAAAGGAAAATAGAAATAATTGCCCTGAAGAACAAAAGGGAATTTGGGAAGCTCTGAATTCCACAGGAAAAATAAAATTAAATATATATGTGTAGTTAGAGCTCTTCTAAAACTCGAGCAGCGAGGTTTGCGGGCAGACACGGTACCCAAAAATCCTTTATCCCTCTTTTCTACTCTGCTCTCCAGCCTCTTTTTCTCTTTTCTCATCCCCGACTGGCATTTCTCGTGCCCATCCCTGGGCTCGAGGAGGGATTTATAAAAAGCCCAGGCATTCCAGCGCGGCCGAGCTGCACCGAGGGGAAACTTTCGCTCTCTAAAAGGAGATTTGGCTTCGCCTTCGCCAGCGCCGCACGTCGAGGGGCCGCGGGGCCAGCGCTGCCCCGGACCCCCGTGGGGAGGGGGAAAATGGGGGTCCAGGGGGGGATCTGGCTCTTTGGGAGGAGAAAAATTCGGGATCAGCCCCACCAAGGGTCCGGCTGTGGCCTCGTGTTGCTCCCAGCGGGATCAGCCACTCCAGGCACTGGGGTGGGCACCGGGGTGGCCACCGAGAGCCACCGGCACTGGCCGCTCTCGCTGACGGCCCCTAAAGGGATTTTTGGAGCGTTTCTTCTCCTCACCCTATTCCTCCAGCAATTCCTGCCCCAGTGAACGCCCTGAGGGCTCCCCCGTTCAGGTTTGGGTCAGGGGTCCGCGGCGGTGGCCACGGGGAGGGGACGCGGGAGCCACCGGGCGAGCGGTGCCGTTGGTGGCGGGTCCCGTTCGCGCGTCGGAGGGGAGAACATCCCGAGCCTCGAGAAATTCCCATCATAGGGAGGAAGCCAAACTTCCTGCTGCGGGGAGCGGGATCTCACCCTCCCCTGGCCCGGCCCGCGGGGGGGGCAGCGGGGCGGCGGCCGGGACGGGGGGTCCGTCGGGTTTGGGGCTCTGTGGGGACGGGGGGACCCCTCCTCCGTGTGTCCCCCCCCCTCCCCATGGCCGGGGGGACCCCGATCCCCGCGGGGCTGGGGCCGCTCCACAGCTCAGCCCACAGGTGGCACCTCCCGAACCTGCCACCCCAAACTGGGCATCACTGCGGGGACCCCCAGGGGGATTTTTTAAATTTTTTTTTTTTTGGAGGGGGTCGTCGTTCTCCGTAGGGCAGAGAGGGAGATCCCTTTTGTTCTGGGTGGGAAAAGGGGATTCATTGTTCTCTGGGACGGGGGGGCGGCTGCCCGGGGGGAAGGGGGGACCCCGTTGTTCTCGGCAGGGGGAGGGGGGGTCTCAGAGGCTCCGGGGGGGGCAGAGGGGGGCGGGGGCTCCCGGGGGTGCGAGGGGGTCGCGTGGGGAAGGGGTTCGCTATTGTTCTCCGGGCGGAGGCCGGGGGTTTCCATTGTCCTGGGTGGGGAATGGAGCCGCATTGTTCTGCGGGAGGGGGGGGCCGGACGGCGGGGAGGGGGGGACAAGGGGGGACCGGCCCTTCTCGGGGTCCCCCTTCTCCGTGGGGAGAGGGAGCACTCGCTGCTCCGAGGGAGGGGGGGGCTCTCCTCGCTTCTCTCGGGGATGGGGGGGCAGCACAAAAAAGGTTCCTCTATTGTTCTCTGCGGGGAAGGGGCGGGGGGGTCCCGGCTGGGCTGCGGGGACGGGGATGGGGGGTCCCGGCTGCCTGTCGGGAGCCGATGGGGGGTCCCGGCTGCCCTCCGCGGGGGGGTCCTCGTCCCCCTCCGCAGCAGGCGAAGCGCAGCCCCGAGGTGCGCCCGGCGGTGCCCCCGCCGCGCCCGGGACCGCTCCGCATCCCGGGACCGGGGGGGGGGACGCGACACACGGAGAGGACCGGGACAGCCCCGGGGGGCTCCGCATCCCGGCACCCGTGTTGGGAGGGGGGGCGGGACGGGACACGCGGAAAGGAGCGGGGGAGCCCCGGGGGGCTCCGCGTGCCGGCACCGGAGCCGGACCGGAGAGCCCCGGGGGGCTCCGCGCAGCGCCCGCGTGGCCCCGACGGGACCCCCGCCCGCCCCGCGCCCACCTTGCGGGAGCCGCCCGGTGCTGCCGGTACTCACAGGAGAGCGGATCGGCGCGGGGCAGGCGCGGGCACAGCAGGAGCAGCAGCGGCAGCATCGGGAGCAGCGGCGGCGGCGGCATGGCCTGCTCCGGTGCCCGTCGGTGCCCGGGGCGGCGGAGCGCACCGGCACGTCCGGGGAAGTCCCGAGCAAGTCTGAGCAACCCCCGGTTACCAAAGCCCCAACTGCCGCCCTGGCCCCGCCCCGGGACCGCCCCCGGGGGGGCAGAAAGCCACCGGCCCCGCCACCCCCCCCACGTCCCTCTCCGGTACCGGCCCCGGGACAAAACCCCGGGAGCGGCTCCGGGGCCGGCCCCCACTCGGTGCCCGCTGCCGCCGAGGGATGCTGGACCCCCCCCAGCCCTCCCCGGGGCCGGTGTCCCGCTCCCCCCGACCCCCCCGGTAGGTGAGTAAGAGCCGCCCCGGGGCCGCCGGCCCACGGCTGAGTCACGCGCGGACCCTCCCGCGCCCCCGGGGCCGCTCTCGCCGCTGAACGAGCCCCCCCCGCCGCGGCTTCCCCACGCTCCGAGCGCCTTTAAGATCCAAACCCTTGTTATTACTTATTTTTGGGTTGAAAGCAGGAATATCATCCCATAAATCCCGATGTTTTCTATCGAATCCATCACCTCTGGGCTTTCCTCCTCAAAACCCCAAAGAAGTGGAAAAAACACCTCAAGTGGCTCCAAATCCCCCCAGACCGGGGCGGCGTTTGTCCCCAGGGGTGGTGGCACGTCCGGTTGTGCCACCAGCATCGGGACAAAGCCACTCACTTGGGCATCCCCCAGTGTCCCCACCTTGTGCCCCCGCCCGGGGTCTCGATGGCGCCGAGAGCTTTGCAGACCCCCAGACGGGTCACAGAACCCCGGGACAGCAAGTCCTGGTCGTGGCAAGGCCACTGTCCCCACGTGTGGCGTGTCCCCAGCTGTGAGGAGAGGGGACAGCATTTCCTGCCGGGAACGGAGCGTGGAGGGTGGCAGGGGACACCTGGGTGGCCCGGGGTGCCCCACGGACTCGGGGTGGGGGGAGCCGGGGGGTGACACTCCGAGGTGTTGGGCACCGGCAGGGATCGCAGAGATTAGAAAACACAATAAAAAACGAGAGGGGGAGGGAGCCCAAACAATGCCTTTTCCCATCGTCCTGTTTTTTGGAAGCTTCTGAACTGTTTTTGTTGAAATTTCCCAAAAATGTCAGGCTCCGGGAGCCACCCAGCCTGAGAAACTTCAGCCCCAGCGGCCGCAGTCTGGCCGAGTGAATCACGGCTGCCCTGGGGGCTGGGGCCGCCCGCGATCCCGACCCACCGCCCGCGTCCCCCCGGGAAGCCACCCGGGGACCGCAGCCAGCGCTGGGTGCTGCGGGAAAAGGAGAAATTCCCCCCGTGGAGCCGGAGCCGGGAGCAGCGGCCACCCCGGCTGCCCACCTGCACTGCCCAGACCCTTCCCCCATCTGTTTCCTCCATCCCGGGCCAGGCTCCTCAGCTTGCGCCCGGAATTTGTGGGATTTAGCGGAGCCAGGCACGGCTGGGATCCCCGGAGGGGGTGACCCTCGCACTGGTGCTGGCAGAGGGGACACGGGTGGCTCTGGCAGAGCATCATCAGAAGGTGGCTTGAGGCTGTGCTTGGGGTACAGGGGAGGATGAGGGGGTGGCACCGAGAGGGGAGCGTCGGTCCCCACCGGGACGTGGCGTCACCCCAGCTGGCACAGGGACATTTGGGACATCCCAGCTGACAGCAGCACCTGCGGGATGGGGACAGGGTGAGGGGACAGAGCGGTCCCCAAGCCCGGGCTGTGCCAGGGTGGCGTCAGGACCCGTCCGGGAGCAGCCGGGGGTGACCGAGCCGCTCTGCCGCGCTCTGAGTCAGCGGCGGCCGCTCAGCGCTGCCCTTTGACTGTGACCTTTAAAGCCGCTCCCTCCGGCCCACGGAGCCGCCGCGCTCACAGGCACCGGCCCGCGGCAGGATCCATCCCGGACCCCCCCTCTGACCCCCGGCCCGGTTCTCGGCGTCAGCACCGGGGTCCCCCGAGGCCGCCGCGGTCCCGCTGCCCCCCCCCCTCCCCGGCGTGGCTCGGTTCCCAGGGCCTCTCTGCCCCGCTGCGGTGCAGGATCTGGCCATGGGGCCCAGCTCCCTGCCACGAACTCTCTGCTCTGCCCAGGCGGGATGTGACTCGCCCCAGATGGACGCGGGTGACCCTGGTGACACCCCCAAACCCGCTCTGAGCATCCTCGGTCCGGCTTCCCAGCGGCTGTCACCTCCCCGCCACCCTCTTTCACGTGTCACCAGGGCCCTGAATTAATCTAATTACTTGATTTCCCAGCCAGAGCTCACTCCATAAAATCCTTGGACGCAGACAGCATCTGGCTCAAGGGCCAGGGTGTAAAAAACAAACAAGAAAAAAAAAAACAACCCAAACCCCGGGAAAAGCGGGAGGAGAGGCGCAAGCGGAGCTGCCTCGACTGCCTGCATCCTTTTAAAGTGACCTGGGGGAAAAATAAAGAGGCAAGAAATGCAAAGAATCCAGCAGGCAGAGTTTGCTTTCTATTCCTCTCAGTCACATTTCCACATCCATGGGTAATTTATAACCCACTTAACCCCTTCCCTGCCGCCCCCCCACCCTTTCCCTCCAGAGCATCCTCAGGGTGGCCGCACCTTCCCGCCTCTGTTTGCTTTGGGAAGCACAAACAGTCCCGTGACGGAATCTGAGGAGCTCTAGAGGAGGGGAAAAAATGTCAAGAGGGTGCTTGAGCACGAGGGATGGGCTCTACAGTGTTGGGACATGGAGCGAAGGGTCCCCTGCCCATGGAAGGGACCTTGGGGACACCCCAGGCAATGTGGGGAGAGCCTGAGGCTTCCCGAAAGGCTCCGGGATAAAAATGTAGGTCAGTAGTGATAAATGCGAAAGGCATCGAGTGTTTCTGGAGAGGGGAGGAGGGAGGGCAGCGAGTATTTGCCAGCTTGGATGTTTCTGCCTGGGAAAGGCTTTTTTTTTTTTTTTTTTTTCCGTGGAAAGGTGAGCGGATGGAGCGCGGGCAGGTGCGGCGGCAGCGATGCCCACCGGAGGATCCCGGTGCCCCCGGGGGTCCGGGTCGGGCTCTGCCCGTGCCGCCGGTGGAAGCCCCACCTGCGGTGCCGTGATTTACGGTGACAGCCCCCAATCTACCCCATTTTCTCGGCCATTCGTCACCGGTGCCGGACCCGCGGCCGGGGCTGGCGGGGCTCCAGGAGGGGGAAGGGGAGAGCAGCGCCCTGGCAGCCCCGCCGGCCCGGCCGCAGCTCATTTTCTTGCCGGCCCTGCTTTGATTAATAAGATGAATAATCTGGCAGGGCGAGGAGAGGCCCCGCTCTCTGCTCCCGGGGGGGTGGGCACGGGCTGCCCCCCAGAGCACCCCCAACCCCTCTGTCCCTGCCCCAGGGCACGGAGCACCCCTCGGTCCTGAGCTGGGACAGGGAGACCCCCCCTCCTTCCCCGCGGCGGGGTCTTGCCATGTGTTCCCCATTAGGGCCGGAGGTTAGCGGAGCCCCCAGCCCCCCTCCTCCTCCTCCTCCTCCCCCCGGGCCCACTTTGGGGTGCTGCCATAAATAAGGGGAATGGGCAGGGCAGGGGTGAGGGGGGGCGTGGGGGGTGTCTTTGATGTCCTTTAAATCCTGGAAAATCACGGCTGTAAATCCGGGGTGTCAGGGAGAGCCCTGCATCGGCCGGGGGGCTCGGAGGAGTGAAGGTGAGGATGGGAGGGATGAAGGTGACTTGGGGAGTCCTCGAGGGTACAGTGGGGTCTAACACCGGCTGGGCACCCTGGCGACGAGGGTTGGTCCATGTGGGTGGCCCTGTCCCTCTGCGTGACACCGGTGCCAGTGTGACCCCTGTTCCCGCTCGTGCCCTCAGTCCCCCCGCTCTCCTCAGTCCTTCTGTCTCAGGGCGGCTCCCAGTCCTGCTGTGTCCCTGCACATCCCCCGGTCCCCCCGAACCCTTCTGATCCCCCACGGTTCCCCCGAGCCCCCATGAATCTCCTGGTTCCCACGTCCTCCTTGCATCCCCTGGTGTCCGTGCATCCCCTCATCCCCATGAATCCCTGGTCCTTGAACCCCCCAATTCTCCCGCATCCCGGGGTTCCCCTCATCCCCCTCTGCTCGAGCATCCCCCATCCTCCCGCACCCCTGTCTCATCATGCCCGCCCGGTGGTGCCGGTGCCGGTGCCGGTGCCGGTACCGGTGGATCTGCGGCAGGCTGCGGCGGCTCCCCCCGCCCCCGGCTCCCCCCGCCCGGCGCACGGCGCGTCACGGCGGGGCCGGCGGCGGCGGTGGCGGTGGCGGTGGGTGCGCTCTGCTCCGCTCCGCTCCGCTCCGTTCCGTTCCGTTCCGCGCCCGCCATGGCGGCCCCGGCCCGCCGGCCCCGGGCCCTGCTCGCCCTCGGCCTGGCCCTTCTCGCCGCCGCCGCCGCCGTCGCCGCCACCGATCCCTTCTCGCCGCAGCTGGGAGACACCGGCGGGTGCCGCGGGCAGTGCGGCCGCAGCCTGCAGCGCCGGGCCGCCGCCGTGAGTTCGGGGCACCGGGGCCTCGGCGGCACTGGGGGCTGGGGGGGCACCGGGGGCATGGGGAGCATCAAGAGTATTGGGGGTACCAGGAGCATCGGGGGCACTGGGAGCACTGGGAGTACTGGGAAGCACCGGGGATATGGGGAGCATCAGGAGCATTGGGGTACTGGGAGTACTGGGAGGAATAAGGAGCATCAATAGCATTGGGGGTACCAGGAGCATTAGGGGCACTGGGAGTACTGGGAGTACTGGGGGTATTCGGGGCATGGAGCCTGTCAGTAGGATTGGGGCTACCAGGAGCATCGGGGGCAGTGGGAGCACTGGGAGTACTGGGAGGCACCGGGGGCATGGGGAGCATCAATAGCATTGATACCAGGAGTATTGGGGGTACTGGGAGCACTGGGAGGAACCAGGGGCTTGGGGAGCATCAGGAGCATTGGGGTCAGAGGGGTGCTGGGAGCATGGGGAGCACCAGTAACACCCGGTGCACTGGGAGTACCAGGAGCAGGGGGGGCACCAGGGGGGACACTGGGGGCACTGGGAGCACTGGAGGGGACCGGGAGCACTGGAGCAACAGGGCCACTGGGAGCACTGGGGACACCCCTGACAGGAATCTCTGCCGTTGCACTGGGCCACCCCTCCCTGGGAACAACATGGGGGGCACCAGGCCACCCCCAAGCAGCTTTGGGGTGCCCCCAGTGAGGGCATCCCCGCTGGTTTGGGGTTCCCGCGGTGTGACTCTGAGCCCGCCCGTTCCCGGTGACCCCGGTGTAGGCTCTGTGTGCCCCCACACCCCCTCAGTGTGTTCCCGGCCCCCCAAATCTGCACCCCTCCCCCAGAGCAGTGCACCCCCACCTCCTGCCAGCCCATGCCGGGGCCTGCCTGGTGCCAACAGAGATGGGGGGACCCTCCACGAGGATTCGGCCACGTTCAAATCCACCGTGGGGTGCACTCGGGGGGCTGCCGGGCACCTCTCCCTCCTGTGGCATGGCCGGGTTTGGGGGTGCCAGCCCTCACCACGGCCCTGGGCGGGGGCGGCACCGCCCGGTGCCCCCCAGCTGGGCTCGGGGGGCCGCGTGGGGGGTGTCCGGCACAGCCACCGGGCTGAGCCCGGTGCCAGCTCCACGCTCTCCTCCTCCTCCTCGCCGCAGGATGCTGTTCTCAACGCCTGTTACCGGGGCTGCCGGCTGTTCTCCATCTGTCACTTCGTGGATGCGAGCGCCGAGCTCAACACGACCAGAGCCGAGTGCGAAGCAGGTGAGAGGAGCTGGTGGCCGAGTGTCCCCCGTGCCCCAAAAGCTGTCCCGGGGGGATCCCCACATCTCAGCAGGAGCAGCACGACCCCCGACACCCTCAGGAGCGTCCTGCCCGCTCAGATTGACCCGTCCCGGGTGTCAGTGGAGAGGGGGCCGGGGGTCCCGGGGGTTGAGCACCCCCCAAACCCTGACCCCTCCTCTCTCCCAGCCTGTGCTGAAGCCTACGGCAACGCAGAGGAGCAGTTTGGGTGCGTGACCGGGTGCCGCAAGCAGCTGCCCGAGGTGGAGGAGAGCAGGAAGGAGAAGGTGAAGGGAGATGGGGAAAACCTTCCTCCAACAGGAGCTCAGCACAGCCCCTCCCCTCCCTCGGCATGGGGGACACCCCACATGTGCAGCCCATCCATGGATCCATCCATCCATCCATCCATCCATCCATGGATGTGCCAGGTTGATCCAAGCCACCACCGGCTGCTCTGTCACAAATATAAAAAGCAAATTAACTGGGCTGGGCTTGGCTTGGGCCAGGCAAGGAGACCACAGGGAATTCCCAGGGTGAGAGGATCTGATTTGGGATCCTGGCAGATTCCCCTAGTTTTGATTTGTTATCCTTCCCAGCAATTAGCAACGCTTTTCCCGCCTACATTTAATTAATTCAGCTTTTGCCCGATTAATTAAATTAGACTTTGGCCCAAGGAAGAGGCTTTTGGCTCCGTGCACGTGCAGGCAAAGATGAATCTGTGCCGTAAAAAGGGTGAAAAGCTCCTTTGAACAATCCTTCTTTGCTGGCCGGTTTTGAGACCTTCCCGGTGCCTGATCCCATTTCCCAGCCTCTCTCCAAGGCCAGGGATGAGCCTCTGGGAGTGACTGGGGGTGACAGGGAGGGCTCTCACCCCCTCCACCCACCCAAAGCATTTTTCCTCGGGTTCCCAGACGAGCAGGCAAAGCAGATTTAGCATAATAATTAGATACAGAATCTGACCTATTTATTTCCTGTTTGCTGGTTTGACCGTGCAAGGGGCTGTCGGAAAATGTTCGGAGCCAGTGGCAGGGAGCAGCCAAGCGGATTCCAGCAGGGATGCTTTAAAAATAACAAACTGCCGAGACGGCCAAGAATCCAGGGCACCGAGAGGCTGCCAGGAGAGGAACGCCCTCGGCATCGCGGCTGCTCCGCTCCCATTGTCCCTGCCACAGGAGGGTGATCCCGCCCCAAAGGGACGGTCCTGGCGCTGGGTGATGACCCCAGAGCTGGGTGGTCACCCCAGGGAGCACAGCTCCTCGTTTGGTGACCCTCTTGGGACTGGATCAGGTCCTGGCACATCCCAGGGGAGGAACAGCTTGAGCCCAGGCCTGAGCACTCGGCTCAACCCAGCCATGACCTCGGGGTGGGACGTGTCCTGCCGGGGTGGGTGACGAGGGGACAGCGGTGATGTGATGTCCCCGCTCCTTTGCAGAGCCTGGAGCTGCAAGCGCCGTCCTTTTCCGTGTTGGATTTGGTCTCCACCTTCTGCAACGACATCGTCAGCTCAGCCCAGAGCTTCATCTCCTCCACCTGGACCTTCTACCTGCAGGCAGATGATGGCAAAGTCGTGGTGTTTCAGGTGGGGGTGTCCCCAGGACGGTCTCTGTGGGTGCCCAGAGGGATGGGGACCCCGTTCCTCATCACCTTCCTCTTTCCCTGCCTCCCCAGTCCCAGCCTGAGATGGAGTATCCAGCACCCGAGGCACTGGAGATCCAGCCAGCACAGCCAGGATCGGGATTGGGATCCAGCCCTGGCATCCCCCAGCCCCACACAGGTTTGGGGGGGAGTCCGGGCTGCTGGGAGGGGGCTGGGAGCCTCTGAGCCCTCCTGGCTCCCATCCGAGTTCTCCAGAGCTGAACAAATTTCCCTCTTCTCTGGTCTGATCAGCTTCCCACACCCCCACACCCGCTGGGGGGGCTCTGGATGGGGCCCTGCTGGGATCCTCTGTGCCCCCTTAGAGGGCAGAGGGTCCCGGGGGGAGAGGGGCACCCCCATCCCGTGCTGGCAAGGGGATGGGAGAGGGGAGGCTGTGCCCACATGGGTGCCCAGGTTCAGCATCGCCTCTGCCCTCCCAGGACCCCGGGCAAAGGGGGACAAGCCCCCCGTGAAGGAGCCACGGGGCAAAGCCAAGGCGCACCCCCCGGAACCCCCCCAGCAGGAGCACGATTTCCTGGGCTGCATGTCCAAGTAGGTGCTCTGGGACGTGCTGGACGTGGCAGAGCAGATCCCCCCCAGCCCCAATTCCCAGCCCGTGCCCTGCCATAAACTCGTCCCCTCTCTTTGGCGGGGGGTGGTGGGGTGCTACAGGCGCTCGGGCCTTCCTCGCTGGATCCTGGCCGCCTGCCTCTTCCTCTCCATCATGGTGATGCTGTGGCTCAGCTGTGCCAGCCTGGTGACCGCCCCCGAGCAGCACGTCAAGACCCAGGTATGGGGTGAGCACAGCCCCCGGGGTGTCAGGGACAGCCCCCGGGGTGTCAGGAACAGCCCCCGGGGTGTCAGGGACAGCCGCTGTGACTGGCTGCGACATTGCTGCGCTCTGCTTGTGGTCCCCGGTCACCGTGTGGGCTCTGAGGTGCATCCACTGGAGGGATGAGGGGGTTCTGCACCCCCCGCACTGTTGTTTCTGCCTCTCTTCCAGCCTCTGAGCATCAACGGGGACAAGGAATACCTGGAGGACCTGGATGGCCCCGGCACCTTCCCCCTGCCGCCCGTCATCACTGTCACCCTGTGCCCCGCCGAGGACGCGGGGCCGCTGCCCCTCAAAGTCGACCTGGACAAGACCATCCTGTAGCGCTCCCACCCCTTCCCAGCACCTCCACCTCCCTCTCACCATCCCCATGGCATCGCCCCGACCCCGCTGCGCTGCCCCTCGGGCTGTGCCAGCTCCCAGAGGGGCATCTCTGGCTCCGGCCGGGTCCCGCTCTCCTCCCCAGGCACGGCCGCTCTGGGGAGGCTCCAGGAGCGGCTCTGGCTCCTCCAGGGATGTGCTGTGAGCTGGGATCCTGGCTCGCAGAGCCCAGAGGGGAGCTGCCAGAGCGGGGAGGCCGGAGGGAGCCCGTCCCCGGAGCGGGACTCTCTGTCTCCTCCCGCCCGGAGCCGCCGGGGCCCCGCAGCCCTCCGGGCATGGGTCCAGCGCTGGGCAGGAGGGAGCCGGCTGCGGTGGGGGATGGAGAATGTCTGCAGCCTTCTGAGCTTTGGCTCGGCACATCCCCGGCCTCCCACCTTGGGCTGAGCCTCCGAGGCGCCGGCCCCGGCCCTGGGAACTCCCTTCCGCCGGCCGGAGCCGATTGCCTCGAGGAGCCGAAACGTGGCGAATGGATTTGGCGTTGGCAGCCGCAGACAGGAGCGGATCCCGCCGCTTCCGTGCCCACGCGAGCACCCAGCCAGCCCCTTCCCGGAGCTGCCGAGGGGCCCTGGGACGGCTCCTTCCCCTCCCTGCTCCGTGATGCCCTTTGGGGAGCTGGCCCCGGTGCCAACAAGTTGCTGGTGGCACCAAGCAAGGGATGATGAGGCGGCGTTTCCCTGACTTCAAGCTCGGACAGGAGGTGGGAGCTGCTGGGACGGCTCCATCCTGGGCTCGGCGTCCTGTAGGGATGGCTCCATCCTGGGCTGGGCATCCCTGCCCGATGCTGGGAGCAGCCTGCGGGGCTGTAGCTGACGGCAGGACCCGGTCTCGGTGTCCCTGGGCTCAAAGCTGGCCCTGGGACCACGCACGGCTCCCTTTGGCTCACCCTGGCACAGCCCCTGGGCATGGAGGTGTCTCTCCTCTCCCCATCTCCCCTCCATCCTCCACCACTCGATTTCAAGCGTCGTTTCGTGGTTTGATTTGCACCGGCATGTGGCTCCTCCAGCGCCCCACGGGGACACCCGTGTGCCGGGAGGATGCGGGTGCCACCACCCCCGTGTCACCTAACACGTCTGTACAGATTAACTTATTGCCCCCCACCCCCTCCCTGGGTTTTTGGGCTCTCTCCGTGTGCCGGCGGCTCCCGGGGGGCCGTGGCGTGGTGGGACGGGGGGGTCTCATCCCCGTCCCCACCGGTTTTGTGCTGCTCCGTGTCACTTCCACCCATCCAACATATCTGGGTTTGGGGAACCGGGTTGGGGGGAGGCGTGGGGAGGGTCTCGTGTCCGTTTTGGGGTCCAATTTTCGTTGTTGGTTTTGGGCCGCGTGGAGTCTGTGATGTTCCCCCGATTCCCGGGCAGGAGCTCCAGGGAAAGGACGGCCCTGGAGCCCTCCCGGCCTCACAAACCCAGCCTCGAGCTGGGAGGGGGAATAGAATAAAAGGTTTGTACCAGAGCTGGGCGAGTCGGTGGCTTCATGGGGGTCCCAGGATGGGAGCAGGTTTGATCCCCCCCAGATGAGGCCGGCAGGAGGGCACGGAGCTGTTCCCGTTCTGGAAACCGAGCCGGGATGAAAACTCTGGCAAAGCGGAGAGAAATCCCCGCTGGGCTGTTTGGCACGGACACGGAGCAAAGCTCCTCTCCGCTGCTGGGTTCTGAGATTCGGCATCGAGTGAGGGAGGAGATGGGGGGCAAGCACCCCAAAACATCCCCGGGAGAGCTGCGAGGAGGGGAAAACCAGGATGCAGCGTCAGGGAGGGCTCTGAGCACGTGGAGGGTTGGGAAAGGAGGGCTTTTCCCACTGGAAACAACTGGAAACTGTGGGCAGCATTTCGAGGAGGGAAAGTGTCACACAGCAGAGTCACACTCAGTGTCACACTCGGTGTCACACACCAATGTCACACTCAGTGTCACACTCAGTGTCACACTCAGTGTCACAGCTCCCTGGGCCGTGTGTTTGTCCTGGCGCTCCGCCCGTGCCCACGGCCCCGCCGAGCTCTGCCCGTGCCAGGCACGGCAGGACGGCTCACGCGAGGGGCTGGAGCCTCTCCGCAGTGTCTGCAGCACTTCAGTAGCCCAGCAGGGTCCCGAGCTCCGAGCCAGCCCCGCGGGGGCCCCGAGCGCCGCCTGCGCCGCCCTCTCGCCCCGGGATGCGGAGCCAGGGATGCGGAGGTGCCGGGGATGGATGCCGGGGCGCTTGGCAGGAGTCACGACCAAAGAACGATCTCCAAAAGCCTGGTCTGCTCCCTGCCAGCAGGCTCTGCTGCTGGAGCACGTCCCCTGCCTGTCCCTCCATGGGGGGTGAGATGTCACCTCCTCACTGGTGCTCGCCATGGGGACAGGAGGGGTTTTCCCTAAATGGAGGGACGGGGATGGTGTTCCCAGCTCGCTGCCTGTGGTGGGGGATGCTCCGGGCAGCCTTGGCCGTGTGGGTGTCACAGCCACATTTCCCAGCCCACAGGGGGATGTGGAGGCTTGCATGGCATCCTCAGCTGTGCCTCGGGGTGGGCAGAGGGGTGGCAGGAGGAGACGGAGCCCAGCACGCAGCAGCTTTGGGGGTGAGCACAATTGGAGGGCAAGAACCCCCCCGGCCAGGAACAGGCCACCGAATGCCCCTCAGAGGGCAGGGACACCCCTCAGGGGGTTCTTTCTGCAGAATTTTCACAGGGGCTGGTGCTGGGGGAGGTGGGAAGGCCCCAGATCGGTGCAGACAGCTGGTAAACCCTGCCCAGGGTGGGCAGTGGCTCTGAGTGTGTCCCCTCCTGGGATGGGAGCCGGGCTGCAGACCGTGGACAAGCTCCTCTTCTTTAAACTGGAGTCAGATTCCTCACTGCTGGCTCGGGGTGCAGGAAACTGTGCCCAGGAGCAGGTGAGGAGGGACCCCACTCTAACAAGAAGGAGATGCATGAAATCTGCTGGTTCCACTCCCCCCAGCAGGCAGCCGGGGCTTTTTCCACCCGACGCCTTTTCCTTCTCGCTACCTCTTTTATTTTTTCACAGGGGAAGGAAAATTCGTGGTGTGTGGCCCCATGAGCCAGGGACAAACCAGGCTGTGGTGGAATCATCCCCCAGCCCATGGTGGTGGTGAGGGCATGGGGGCACCCTGAGCTCACGGTGGGGCACGTCCTTGGGGTGAGCATTTGTGTGCCCACATTCACATCCATGTGTCAATCATCATGTCCTTGTGTCCATCCTCATGTCCCCGTGTCCATCCTCATGTCCTCGTGTCCATCCTCACATCCTCATGCTCATCCTGACGCCCTTGTGTCCACATTCATCTTTATGTCCACATGTCCACACTCACCCTCGTGTCCACACGTCCAAACTCACCTCTGTGTGTCCACGTGTCCAGCCACAGCTCCATAATTAATCCCAGATGGGTCTGCAGCAAGAAGAAGCCTCAAAAAGTGGGAAAACTCCAGCAAGTTTTCCCCTACCCTTCCACCACAGACCCCTGTGGCATCTCCCCCCTTGGCTGTGGCTGGGTCTCCGTGCCAGCAGTGGGTGCTGAGGGTTGTGGGGGTCTCACCAGGGGCCAACAGCCCCCCTGTCTGCTCTTGGTGGCTGCTGTTGTCCCCTCCAGAAAATCTCAGCTGCTGGGAGCTGGCCTGGCTCCACCAGGCTCACACAATGCCTGGAGGAGCTGGGCCAGGCACGGATTTCCCTCCCCTCCTGCCATCTGCTCCCAACCGTGCCTTTGTCCCTGTTTCTCACCCCATTCCCCTCAGGAACACTTCTCCTGGAGCCCTGGGCCTGTTCTTCCAGGATGTCTCTGCTTGGGAAGAGCACTTGGGATGCCCCAGAGGGCAGAAATCCCAGGACTGGGTCAGCAGGGAGGAGAAGGACTCTGAGAAGTCCATGTGCCAATCCCCCTTTTGATGATTTGGGACCGATTATCCCCTTCCCACTCTCATCCCAGGGAGATGCTGCAGGGCACCAAGAGGTCAGGGGAGGTTTCTTATTCCTGTCTTGTAGGAGGAAGGAGGTGACGATTCTCATTCTTCCTTGAGAATCCCCGGTCTGGGTGGAGCAGAGGGTTTGGAGCTGCAGGGCTCCTGGAGGTGATGGAGCAGAGCCTGGGCTCCTCTCTCAGCTAGGAAAGGAAATTTTCCAGCAGCTCCAGCTGCCTCTCCCTGCTCCTGCCAGCACGAAGCTGCGATCCTGAGTTCCTGACCAACACTCAGAGCTGTAAATTCACTTTTAACCCAAATGGAGGTAAATTCCCATCCAGGGATGGAGTGAGGATGAACTGGACAAGGGCTCAAAGCACCTTCCTGACCCCACGTGTGGAGCTGAGCCCTTTCCCTTACAAATTCTCCTTTGAGTGGTGCCTGGAGCCACCACAAAGCCCACGAGGCCTTCAAAGATGGAAACCCCATGGCGCTGCTGGAACTGGGCAGGGCAGCACCGTGCCAAGGAGGGGAAAACACATCCATGGGTTTCCTCTCCCCGTCCTCCTTCCTACGACCGACCCCACCGAGCCGGAGCCACGGGCGATTCAACAACAACAAAACCAAAGGAAAAACAATCTCCTGGTGCTAATGGGATTGGTTCTGTCCCTACCACGCACATTCCAGCCCGGCTCGAGGGAGCGCTCGGGGGGCGGGGGGGAAGGGGGGGGATAATGAAGCCAAATTATTCCTCTGTCTTCAAATGTCAGAGTTGAGCTCGGTGCCGCTGGCCGGGCCTGGCGCAGCTGCTGGGTCCTGGCAGTGCCGTGGGGAAGGGGAGCACCCCCGGAGCACAGCCAGGGACAGGCATTTTCCATTCCCTGGCTTTCGTTGCTTCTTGGAATTACTCGTCGGGGCGGCGAGGGGCTTCGCTTGGCTGCGTGTGCACTCGTGTGTTCTCCTGCCAGGTGAGGAGAGCAGCCAAGCTGGGTGGGGGGAAGCTGGGGTTTGACTGGGTGGGTGGGGACCAGGCTCCCCGATGGGCTGGGGTGGTGTTGCAGCACCTGGTGCCCTCTGGAGACACCCCTGGTTTTGGGGGTTTTGAGGGATTGTGGCCTCGCCACGGTGCCAAACGGTTCTGGGAATGGCCAAGCTGAGTGGGAGCCAGCTCCTGAGGGAGTCAGGAGTGGAAGGAGAC